TGCGCGCAGGCGGCGCGAGCGGCAGCGCGCTGAGAGCGCAGCAGGCAGGCAGCGGGGCGAGGGGGTGCAGAGCGGGGCAGGAGCGGGAGCGACAGCGCGAGGCTGGCGGCGGCATGGCGCGGCCCTGCCATGCCTGGCCCGCACCTCTGAGACCTCCCCATGGCGGCTGTTGCAGGCGTGGATGCGCGCCTCGGCGGCGGCCAGCAGCTGGCTAGCCTCCTCCTGGGCTGCTGCATGGCGCGCCGCTGCAGCCCCCCGCTGCCCCTGGCACTCCTCCGCCGCTGCTGCAAGCCTGCTCTCCGCATCGGCACCAGCCGCAGCCAGCTCCGCCCGGCACTCCTCCCCCCCAGCCGGCGCAGGCTTGCAGGCTGCCGCCAGCGCGCTGTCGTGCGCACCGCAGGCGCCCGCTTGGCTTGCGGCAAGGCTGCAAGCACGTGTGGCAGGGATGGAGGCAGGCAGCGGTGGTGGGCCCAGGCAGGCCAGCTGCGTCGCCACCTGCAATCCCCTCCCGACCACACACCCGGGCACAGGGTCCCCCGCACCACCCTGCCCCTCTGCCGCTCCACCCACCTGGCCTTGAGCTCCTCTCGCTCCCGCTTCAGCTCCCTGATCTGCTGCCGAGTCGCCTCCAGGCTGGCGGCGGTCCGAACGAGGTGCTGCAGGGGGCAAGACAAGGCAAAGAAAGGCACGCTGAATGAGGGGCAGCAGCAATCACACGCATGCGCGCCTCATGACAGCAGCACCAGCCAACTCCAGTGTGACGACGCCAGGCGGCTGCGCACCTTTGACAGCTGCGCGTTGCGCTCCTGGGAAGCCAGCACTTGCTCCTTCAGCTGCGTGGCGGCAGCCGCCGGGTCTGCCAGCGCTGCACTCCACAGCTCTTCCAGTGCCGCATTCCTGCGGCAGCAGACAAGCACAACAACAACCAGCCAAGCTGCCTCAGCGCTCACAAAGTGGTCGCCGGCACTGGGCTGTGCTGTTTTGCATGTACACCTGCCCGCGCACGCGGGGAAGCCAGGCGGGCGCTGGGCAGCAGTGGCGCTCACTGGCTCCTCAGCCTCGACATGTCGGCCTGCAGCTGCTCCACATCCACGCCGCCCTGGGCCGCCTCCTGGCCCAGCCTGCATGCCAGCAGCCGCACCTTGTGAGAGAGGCCAGGACGCTGCGCGGGCACCCAGGCCGCTCGCACAGCCACCAGCACAGCTATTGCGGCACCAGGTTGCAAGCAGCCCTGCCCCCCTGCCGGGTGCACACACTGGGCATGGCATCACCCGGGCCGCCGTGCACTAGCACCTCAGCAGGCAGCCCCCACCTGGCCTGAAGGTCGGCATTCTCCTGGCTCAGCTCTGCGATGCGCAGGCGCGTCTCAGCCAGCAAGGCGCGATCCAGCGAGCACCCCTCCCCCGCCGCCGCCGCAGCAGCGACCGCCGCGCCCTGCTCCTGCAGCAGCTGTGCGTGCTCCCGGCACTCATCCAGGTCCATAGCAACAGCCTGGCAGGCGGCGTCGCTGCCGGCCACGTCCGCCGCGCTGGCCATGCGCGTGTGCTGCCGCTGCATCTCGTGCTGCGCCTCCACCAGCGCCTGGCGCGTGGCCGACAGCTGGCGCAGCACGGCCACCAGGTCACGCCCGTCCGCCTCGATGTCGTGCTCATCCTCCTCGAGCTGCATCTGCGGGGGGGGCGCAGGCACGGCACGGTGCGACACGCTTCGTCAGAGCGGGCGTGCGCATCCAATTTAGTGAGGAGCAGGGTAAAGCGCATACCTGCGCCACTTCCAGGAGCTCTTCAGCAGCCGCCAGTTCGGCGTTCGCGCTCTCCAGCTCCGTGCGAACCTGCAGCAGGAAGGGCTCGACGAGGAGTCGGCGGGCGACCGACCAGCGCCAACAGGCGGCGGGCACCATCGCCTGTGCACGCACCTTTGCAGCGTCATCAGCTACCGCACAAGCTGGTAAATGCGCAGGTGTTTCTGGGAGGTTATCCATATCCTGCTTGAGACCGAGCAGCTGGCGGTGACACTCTTCGACCAGCAGGGTCTTGTCGGCTAGCAGGTCCCCCAAAGCCTCGATGTAAGCGTCTGTGGGGCAATACGCGCTGCAACCGGGGGGCGCAAGCAGCAGCAGCGCGAGCAAGGGGGCGAGCGCCAGGGGCGCCTGGCCGCTGGCTCGCCTGTGCTTCATACTGTATTTAATGGCTGGGATGGATGAGGGCACGGCGCTCAAGCGCCGATGGTTGAGGTTCATGGCCAGGATGAGCTGGCGGCGGGGGCGGCGCTGTCATCTCCGCGCTGACATCTCCGCCTGCTTGGCCATGATGTCGAGCTGCAAAACAAGCCCGGTTTATAAATGGTTTGTGAGCTATATGTCCTTCCTCCAGTGGCTGCTGCACCCCTTTCCCCCTGGATGGCGCCAGTAGTCTCTCCAGATGTCGCGTCGTTTCCCCACCCTCTGCTGGTCTTTCTTACATTCCTGCAAAGCAACTCGACGTTGACATCGCAGTGCGGTGCCTGCTTCTGGTGCTACATAAAACATGGTCAGGGGTGCAGTGCGCGCAAGTACACAAGCGCGGCGCGCAGCGGGGATGAGCTCGGCGCAGTACGGTGGCTGCCCTCGGCCAGCCCCCCTGCGGCACGCAATTTATTCCTACTGATTAGACCCTGCAAATTCTGGGCTCAATAGCGCGGGTGCCCTGCAGGACACGAGGAAGCGGGTGGCGTTGCTTGCCAGACGTTGACTGACTGGGCAATCGGCTGGCTACCCGACACCCCTGCCCGCCTTCCCTGTCCCCTGCAGCAGAAGCACTCACAGAACATGCCCTTGATGCCTTCGGGGTCTGCAGCATACCCTAGGTTGGTGTAAAAATTGACAACTGCAAGGAAAGGGGGTCAGGGCAATCGTCATCGCTGCCAGTTGTCAGTGGAGGGCGCCCGAGCCACTCCCGGCCTGCACAACGCGCCTGCCCTCGCTGCCACCCATCACGGCTTGCCTGCCGAGTCGGCGAAGAGGGTGATGTTGGTGATGTCTCGTTTGAGCAGCGTGCGCGTCACGCCCTCCACAAGCGCCTTGCCCAGGCCCTGCAGCGTGCCACATTCATCTCTCAGCAGTGTGCCAGGACAGCCAAGGCTCTGGGCAGCCGAACATACGGGTTTGGAAGCCAGGGTGGTTCTGATGGGGGCAAGGGGTGGGGAAATCGCAGGCAGCCCCACCTGGCCCTGGAACTCTGGGTCCACCAGCACGTCCCACAGCGTGGCGTTGAAGGCCCCATCAGAGGTGCAGCGGGCCAAGCCAATCAGCCGGCCCGGCGTGCCGCTGCTGCTGCTGGCCGGCCTGCTGCTGGTGGGGGGGCTGCCGCTGCCGCTGCCGCTGCTGCTGCCATCGCTGCAGTCGCTGCTGCTGCTGCGCGGCGGCGCGTCCTCCAGCGTCAGCGTAGCTACCAGGAAGCTGTTGGCCAGCGCCGCCTGCACCTTGTTCTGCGGGCGCCGCGGCCAGCCGACCTTGTCGCACAGCGCCTCCAGCTCCGCGGCATCCACCAGGCCTCCGTTGCGGTACACTATGTACCGCTGGCTGCCATCCTCTGCCTGCAGCTCCGTCAGCAGCACCTCATCCAAGTTCTCCAGGCTGTAGTCCTCCGCCACACCCGGCTCTGCCACCGTGGCGCCGCCGCTGCCGCCGCCGCTGCTGCGGGGATGCGGGGAGCGGCCGACGGTGTGGGAAGAGGGCAGGGTAAGGATGCATAGAAGGTAAATGGGAGAGAGAGGGAGAGAGAGATGAGAGTAACGTTGAGGCTAGCGGCGGGCAGCCGTGTGCCAGGCTTGCCGCCAGGAAGTGGGGGTGCCGCAGGCTGTGCCTGGCCTCCCGACAGCGGGTCCTTCCCAGCCCACAGCGATCGCTCTGGCAGCAACAAACAGCGAACTCACCCAAAGAGGCCGCTCAGGAAGCCCCGACACGCCAAGCCCCGCCTTGCACGTTGAGACGCTGGCCGGGGCGGGCTCCTTGCCCCTCGTGACGCACTTCCCCGCCTTATTGCACAGGGCTGGCAGCAATGCGTGGCAGAGGAGGTAGTGAGGCAGGCTGAGACGGTCATGGTGCAGAAGCGGAGAGAGGGGCCCTGCTCATTCACGACACTGGTGGGTGAGGGAAGCCAGCGCCCAATTGCGGCGCTGCGCACTAAAGCAGCAAAGCAAAGCAGCAAAGCAAAGCAAAGCACAGCATGGAGTTCTTGTCGCCCCCGGGTAGCTCATTCTCATGCATTGAGCTCGGCACAGCAATATCAGTAGGTGGCGCAGCGAGAAACCGATGGCAAGCGGCGCTTCTGACGCCATCTTCGCCCAGCTGCAGCTGGGTATCGCCTTCGACAAGAAAAAATGGAAGAAACAGATAGATCTGTTCGAGAAGCCCGCTGAGCTGCCCGGTGCGCGTTCCCACCTTGCGCACCGATAGTGCATGCCGCGCAGCGCCCTCCCTTGACGCCCCCACATGGGCAGCCAGAGTGACAAACATCTGAACATGGCATGCATGCATGCAGGCGCGCCGCCACAGCACCACCAGCAGACAGCAGCGCCGCCGGCCGCCGCCGCCGCCGCCGCTGAAGCCCCTGCGGCGAATGGCGCAGGCCGCAAGAAGAAGACCAAGCAGAGGACCAAGCGTGCTGACGCAGAGGCTGCCGAGGCTGCAGGAGAGCCGGAAGGAGCAGCCGCAGGCATCGCCCTGTTCCGCGGCCAGCCGGGTGGCGGCGTCGGCAGCACGCCAGCGCCTGTGTTTGTGGACAGCGAGCCGCAGGTGCAGACAGGGGACCCTTTCGAGGAGGCAAACGTCATCCGCAAGGCACACAGAATCAAGGCGAGTCGGAAGCATGCACTTGGCGTGATGCACCCGCTGCTGCGGATGCTAGCGGCCACGCACTGCGGCAACTATGGCACAACTGGCAGCAAGCCCGCCTGCCTGAGCCATGCCCGCCTGCAGGTGTCTGGCAGCGCGCCCCCGGCGCCACTGCGCAGCTTTGCGGAGCTCGAGTCGCGGCCCGGCTGCAGCCGGCGGCTGCTGAGGTGCGGGGCAGGCCCTCGCCTCCCTCTGCCTTACGCCGCCATCTGCCGTGGCCACCCGCCGACACCACCGAAGCCAGGGACAGAGCCAGTTCCGCCCCTTCCGCCAATTCCTGGCCCCCTCTCCCCCTCTTTGCACCCTCACATCGCACCCACAGCGGCCTCATGGCACATTTGGCTGACCCACCCACCCATCCCCTCCTCCACGCAGCAACCTGGCTGCCGGCGGGTTTACCGAGCCCACCCCAATCCAGCGCCAGGCCGCCAGCGCGCTGCTGGCGGGCCGCGAGCTGCTGGCGGTGGCGCCCACCGGCTCCGGCAAGACGCTGGCCTTCCTGCTGCCGCTGGTCATGCGGGTGCGGCAGCTGAGGGCGGAGGCGGAGGCAGAGGCGGTGGCGGCGGCGGCGGATGCTGCAGGCGGGGTCGAGGAGGAGCAGGGGGAGGGCGCGGCGGCGGCGGGCGGCGAGGGAATCAAGGCGGTGGTGGTGAGGTGAGGCGGCCTGGCGCATGCATAGCGCCGCCGCCGCAGTGCGTGCTGGGCTGGCCCGCAGGATGCGGCGCTCCCCGCCAGGCCAGTGTTTCACACCCCGCCGCCGCCTATCCCCTTCCCTGCTGCCCCCTGCGCCTGGACCCTCCCCCCGCAGCCCCACAAAGGAGCTCAGCGTGCAGACGGCGCGGGTGCTCAAGCTGCTGCTGCCCGGCCTGCGCATCCGGTGCAGCGTGCTCAGCAAGTCGACGGCGGCGGGCACCGACTTTGGCAAGGCACGCGGCGCCCGCCTGGGCCGCGTGTGTGTGTACATGTGTTCTGGGCATGCCGCGTGCGTGTGTCTGCTGACGCTGGGAGAACTGTTGTGTGTGCCGGTGGGAGGGCCAGCGCGACCCGTGCTGCCGCTCCCCGGCACTGGCGGCGGCGTGCGCCACCCGGGTTTGCCTCGCACCCCGGCTGCACCTGCCGCCTCCCTCCGCGCCGGCGGCTGATGCGCGGCGCGCCTGCGCGTGTGCTCCCTCCCCCGCGCTGCCTGGCGCAGGGCTCAAGGAGGAGCGGGTGGCGGCGGAGGCTCTGTACGCGGAGATCGGCGTGCCGCCCCCCACCGCCGCCTCCAACGGCATCGACAAGCATCAGCTGGTCGCTGACGTGGCGGCCGCGCTGTACGCGTCCAAGGTGGGGGCTGGCTGAGGAGAACCCCTTGTCGCTGCCGCCGCCGCAGCCGCCGCAGCCGCGCTCTGCCGGTCCCGCCCGCCTGGCCTGTGGCCTGTGGCCTGTGGCCTGTGCTGTGTCATGCCTGGCCCCGCCTACCCAGCCCGGCGTGGCCCCCAGCCTGCCTGCCTGGCCAGCCCCGCTCCACTCTGCCCTGCCCTGCCTCCCCGGCTCATCATCCCCTGCCCTGCCTGCCTGCCTGCCCTTGCCCCCCCGCCCTCTCCCTCCCCGCCCCTCCCGCAGGTGTGCAGCTACGCGCAGGGCTACAACATCATCCGCGCCAAGAGCCTGGAGCAGGGGTGGGAGACCGACCTGGGGGCGCTGGCGCGCATCTGGAAGGGGGGCTGCATCATCCGCGCAGGTGGGGCGGCGGGGTGTTTGTGTGGGGGGGAATGGGGCGCGTGCTCGCCGCCCTCCCCTGGCGCCCTGCCCTGCCCCTTCTCCCCTTCACAGATACACGTCACACCACACAGGCCCCGCCTCCCTCACACCCACGCCCCTCCAGCGTTGCGTGCTCCTCCACTTCTCCGCGCTCCTGTGGGCGCCCCACCCCGCACACCCACCCACCCGCCCCCGCACCCCCCCGCATCCTCCCGCAGGCTTCCTGGACCGCATCAAGCAGGCGTACCAGCGCAACCCTGAGCTGCCCAACCTGCTGGTGGACCCCGAGTTTGCAAAGGACCTTGGGGACAGGTGGGCAGGCAGGCAGCAGAAGGCAGGCAGGCCGGCCGGCAGGATGAAGACATGGAGTGTGTGTGGGGTGCCTGGGCGACGAGCTGGCCGCTTGCAGGCGTGTGCTTGCATGCTTGCTGTGCTGCTGCCGCCGCCGGCCTGCCCTGCCGCTCAGCCCCTGCGGCGACCC